GAGTGTGAAGAGATTGAGATTGTACACAGCTTTAGTTTACTTGGCTCCACAGTCAACAGTCTTGGCACCAGTAGCCAGGAAATTAAAAGGCGCATTGCCATGGGAAAGTCTGCTGTTAGGGATTTCTCCAAAGTACTGAAGAGCAATGGTGTCTCTCTGGAGACTAAGGTGCGTCTGATACAGGCCATGGTCTTCACAATCACTTGTTATGCATCAGAGAGTTGGACAATCACCAAGGAGGATAGAAGGAGAATTAATGCCTTTGAGCTGTGGTGCTGGAGAAGAGTATTGAGAATACCATGGACTGCTAGGAAAACAAAGAGATTTGTCCTGGAAAGGGTTAAACAGGGTAGCTCCTTGGAGGCAAGGATTCCGAGACTCCGTCTAACATACTCTGGACATGTGAGGAGAGATCGGTCCTTGGAGAAGGACATCATGCTTGGGAGGGTGGAGGGACACCGCAGGAGGGGAAGGCCCTCTATGAGGTGGATTGATTCAGTGACTGGGATAATCGGGATGGGAGTGTCAGAGACAGTGCAATTGGCACAGGACAGAGCAGAGTTTAGGGCTGTTGTACATGTTGCAAGCGACTTGACGGCACATAACAACAACAACAACCTTTGTGTTAGCAGCACAACTTCTTTACCCATTAGGTTTTCTTAGGTGAGATGAGGAAGGAGGACATGTTTTTATAAATACTGCTATTTATCACAAAAGTGTAATAAGATTAAGTAAGGTAACCCCCCTAAAATCAGACTCATACTCCTAAACACTGGAACAAGGGCACAGGGGACAACATGAGACAGGGCATAAAGCCCGAGGGTCAAAGTCTGTCAAGTTTTATTTTTACTTCATCATTCTGTGTCTTCATGTCTGCATTTCTTAAATAGAGACAGCCTTGCTCAATGGTGCCTTTTAATCAGATTTATTTTAAAGTTCAGAAAGAAAAATGTATATAAAAATATTTAAAATTCAGAACACTCAGAAATAAGGCATTATCATTTAATAGTGGCTGTACCTTCAATATAGAGGCAATTATACAATGCATATAATAGGGCACTGTCCTTTACTTTTTAAAAGAACATAATATTTTTACCACAGGAAAACAAAGAAGTTTGAGACTATAAACTACATGGGCTTCAAATTTAAGCTGTGAGATTATAAGTATGGCCCTAGTTTCTATCATTTCTTCCAATGCTGCCTCTACTTTAAACTAATATATCAGAAATTACTTCACATCTACCTCATTGGAAATACTACAGCAGAGAGGAAGAGCCTCAGCAAACTGCTACCAGAATCATAAAACATGAAAATTCAACTGAAGCAGTTTTCAAAATAGGGAATGCTCCTGCTTGAGTCAGACCAGGCAAAACGAAATGACCTCCTGTGAATCATATCATAGCTGACAAAGGTCCTATTATCTTCTATTGATTGGCTAGGAGTCCAGATATCTTCTCTATGGCAGTTTCTACAGCAATCTCTGCACAGCAGAAGAAGTCCTTAATGCACCATGTCTCTGCTACTATCCCAGGAAGTTAAGAAAATTGAAAGCCTTTTGTACTTCTTTTTCCACAGACAGTGTGAATAGGCTTTTCAAAATAGCTTGGACACAGTGTGTAATATTTTGTTTTAATTTGCAAGCAAGTCTTGTTCATTGTGCTTGCTACAATATGGGTCATTTTCACTCCATTTATTCAGGATAACTTGCCTGAGGCAGTTCCTAAGTCTCTTGGTCTCGCTGGGCTGCAGTGAGACAATAAGCCCAGGCTCTGGGACCCAAATGGGTCCTTAAAACTGAGCTAGAGGAAGATTGGGAGACACAGGGTGTTTTTGCACCCCTCCCCCCCAAATCCACCTCGATCCTCATCTATTACCATTCTACTTAGTTCAAGATAAGGGCAAAAAACTATTTGCTCAAACCAGGGACTCCCACCCACCCCCTTCCTCAGACACTGGCGTAGGCATGGGGAAGTGTCCAGTTCAACCATAAGAAAAAGGAAGTGAGGTGAGGGTGGGGGTAGAGTGGTGAGGAGCTTCTTGGGGGATTTTCTTTGAGCATAAAATGACAAAACAGCAAACAGCAATATTCCCCCCCCCCTTGCCTTTTCACCTTCCTGTCTGGGATGCTGGTGTGACAGTACCTAGACAGGAGCTACGGCAGCCACTATGTAGCCACTCAGCTCACTGCCCCGGAGTGGCAGCCGACTCAGAGCTGACCCTCCAATGGGTTTTCTCAGCCTGTAAATCACACGGAAAGAAACTGTTCTACTTCCTTTCACAGAGCCTCTCATGGATTCAAACTGCCACAGAGGTGCCACCTCTGCCTTAGCAGTGTGACTCCCTTCCTATGAAGACAGAAGGCACGGGGACTCAAGTTCAAGGATAAAATCTGACAGAAAATGCCACAGCAAAAGGAGAGAAATGCATCTTCCTAAATTTTGTTATTTACTGTACTCAGTTCTCATTCCTCTCACCTCCAACCTGAATCCTTGTATCTGACATTGACACTCTAAGCTCCATTCTCACATCTTACACTTAATCCAAAGTTTAGTCATTTCTCCTTAAGTGTCATCCTTCCCTGTACTGTCATGTGAAAATTCTCCTTTATAGACAAAGAAAAGACCAAATCCAAAGTATAACATTACTTCCTAAAGTGGTGTCACAATACACATAGGCCCAAGGGTAAGTGTATACACTGAGTGATGCAGAATTATGTCCAAGAAATCCGTTATAATAACCATTGAAATATGACGCTGGCTCTATACAATAAGCAATGGTATCAAAACAGAGAATTAAAAAGTCTTATACAACAGTACCACTAGTAATTTTTGTGTAGCTTTTCCCAGACCTCAATAGTTATATCACCATTTTTCCAATGGAAAGTGGAAATTAAAAGGTTTACAGTGGAACCAACTCAGTCTCATAAGGACAAATATAGCATAAGACAATTATATAGAAGCAGAAAGATAATTAGTAAGACATGTATGAGCATTCAAGGAGGGGAGGGGAGAGCATAGAGAGGTGTGGATGGCAACAGGTAATCATAGGATCACACAGTCTGGGGGGGGTGTAAAAGAAATGGGAAAGACCTGGCAGGGATCTGGAAAGACAGGCTGAAGATGGGCAGGGGGTAACCATAGAATCATTCATCTGGTGGGGGTTGTAAAAGAAATAGGAAAGATCTTTCAGGGATCTGGGATGACAGGTAATGGTGAACATGGATCAATGGTGATTAATTTTAGAAAATATAATACACGGGAATGAGTGTATGTGAAATGTGAATGAAGAATAGCATGAAATACAATGAAACTTTGTAAGCAAACCAGTGAAAATAAAAATTTTTTTAAAAAAATTTTACAGTGGAAACATCTAAATTAAAACTTTTGGGGGCTTATTGGTTGAGGGCTTTTGTTTGTTTTTCAGAGTCTACCCCAAATATAGCAAAAGGGTCAGTAAGTACCTTTTTCAAACCATCACCTGGCTTAGTGGGTAGAATTTTTACTAAAAGAAATCTTAAATTGTATAATAGTAATATTAAATTACTGATTAAATAGCATAAGACCTCCAAACCCCAACATATAGTCCCCTTAACAAAAACAGATAACACTACAAGACAGAAGGAAAAGGAACCAAAGGGGAAGTATCATTTCCCCTACTGAAAGCAAATTCAAATCTACAAAGGTGGGCAAGAGGCAAAAACAAAGGGGTGGGAAAAGAACTACTTCATCAGATACTATTGTTAATGAGAACTAGGTTAGTAACAGAGAAAATCTTTCAGGAAAAAAAATGCAAACTATAAAAGCCACTTACCAGACACTGAAGACTAGAAGTGATTAGGCATGATACGTGAGCAGATTAAAAGGTCTTTAGGCATAGACCACCTCGCACTCCCACCAAAAAATGAACCATGTGCAAGGAGTATGAAAGAGCAGATGAGGTAATTAGAAAAGGGTAAACATAATTTTACCTCTACAAGCCATCAACTCATAGAACAAAACTACTAGGCCATGACCAAAATTAAGCATCATTCATTCCATTCAAGACAGCCACTTTCTCAATTCACACAGATCCTCATGACAAGAAATGTTACAGAAATTATTGGATACAACCAGGTCAAATGGAGTCACATCTCAGACATTACCTATCAGAGTTTCCCCAAGCTGAGAGAAGGGAGTCCTGTGAGCATCTCGGTAGTGAATGGGTTTTATAAGTCATGACACTACTTACAAAGAACAGGATCAGAAGTCTTCTAACAAAGGAGTGCAGCCAGTGGGCAAATAACCACCATACTATGTCCTGGCATGCTCAAGAAAGGGGTTGTGCAGATTTAATCACTAAATAGGATGGAGTTCTGAGCTTGGAAAGAGGCATTAATATAAAACAGGATTCTGCTCTGCTCTATAAAGTGGGAATGAGGACTACTGATGCTTGAGGGCACCAAGCTAATACAATGGTGTAAGCTTATATATCACAGTTATAAGTCTATGTTTAAGCCCCATGACTTCAACAAGAAACTGGGTATTAGCAGTCCATGAATCAGTCATTAAGAAATCCAACCGAAATAACAAAAATGATGGTCTAGCAGAAGAATAAGACATTTGGTATAAGCTGGTGTCAGTATTGCATTATGAAAGAGACCCTACCATTTAACATCTAATTTATCTTGGAGTTGACCATTCCCTTTAAGAATACAACCTTAACTGATGTATTTATGGTTTTGCTGGTGATTGTTATATACAATAATAGCAGAACAAAGTTTTTCTATGGGCTTGTGTTTTGGCTACCGTTGGTATGTTTCATGACTACCTTCAAAAAGTCTTGCTTTCTTTTGCTACAAAGCAGCTGCAACAAACAGGAAAAAGGAGAAGTCCTGATGAGCTCACATGCTTTCTTAAAGGATCATAATTTCCCCTCCAGAGTTGAATGACGGCTTTTATTCCTCAACCACATCAACCAGAGGTATGTTTCTTACACCTGAAGCCATTACATCACTTACTAACCTTCACAGTAGGCAGAGTCTCCCTGGATAGATATATAACCACTCTTGCACTCACAGGTAGCCTTTGTATTCCAGTTTTTGCACTCTGAATTCTCACCACATTTAGGTCCCTCTGCACAAAAGTTATGACCTAAAAGGAACAAACAATTTTACATTAGAAATGAAAGGAAGAAAAGATGATCAAATAACAACACACATAATATTTTAATATTACATTATATATATACCTTATTAATACATAAACATGAACTCAGTAAGGGGTAAGGCTTAGGAATAGGAAACTTAGAGTCATAGCAAGCTTAGATGACTTCCTCCCACCCATGCTAAAAAACACAAAGACTTGTCATGGCTAAAAATGCTTGTCCATGCTAAACCTGAATCCTTTGCCAAGAGACTTCTCATCCAGCCAGATTCCTTCTAATTATTTTGTTGTATAGTTAGAGAAAGGACTATATGAAATATATGGTTTGTAAAATAAAGTTGATGCTGTTAGATGCTGTCAAGTCAACTAGGACTCATAAAAACCTTATGAATACTAGAACTAAACTTTGCCCCATCTTGTGCTATCTTGACACACTCTGATATGATTGAGCCCATTATTATAATCACTGTGTCAAGCCACATAACAGAATATTACAATGGTCTCAAAATTTGCCTAATGGAATAAGTTAAATTTTACTATTTGTTTCTTCAAAAAGCACTAGTAGGATACTGGTTAAAAAAAAAAAAAAAGAGCATCTAACTAAAAGTTCAGCAGCACAAATCCACCGGCTACTCCTGGATAGAAAGAACAAGCACTCTGCTTCTGTAAACATATGCATTCTTAGAAACCTAATGGACAGGTCTATTCTGGACTACAGAATTGCTATGAGTTGGAAGCAACTCAAGGTGATTTATATGTTTCTTCTGTGATATATTTTTCTGTTTTCTTGCTATTCATCTGTTAACTACAACTTATATATTTGTCAAAACTATATAATAATTTCTCATATTAATGTGATAAAATTTCCTTTTATCCACTATATTATTAATAAATAACAAACTCTGGTGGCTTAGTGGTAAGCAACTGTATTGTCAACACAAAGGTATGAACTCAAATAGACCAGTTAGTCTGGGCAGAAAGATGAGCAATCTCTTCCCATGTGATTTACTGCCTCTGACAACCTGCTAGCTGTCAGCTATGACTTAATGGTACATATTAACAACAACATTACTGATGGGTTACTGGTGGGAAATTTAGGTATTTGGAGGGTTTCAGTCTGAAAATAATGCCAATAGAAATAGTATTGAATGCTGCCCACACTAACCAGCAACTCCTGATGCCACCTACCCATGCCAAGGACCTGACACCACACCAGGGAGCAACACGTGCTAGGGAGCAACACACACTGAGGAGCAACATGCACCAGGGAGTGACGCTGGAATTTGAGTGTGGTACTTTGGGGGGTGGGGGGTTGTCACTAGTGTTTGGCTGGATCACATGTGACCCTTTAAGCTCAGTCAGAAGGAAGCAAGACACCGGGAGCTTGTTCTCAAAGGGAAAATCATGTCTTCCTGGTCTTCCAATCAGGTCTCCGTGCTCTACCTTGCACCTCCTCACATCCAGTCAATTAACTACCTTTAGCCCAGAGCACCTTGGGCTGCCCCAGCTGTGGCAGTTGTCTGACAGAGAAAACTGTTTCACAAGCCTTTTCTCTACCAAACTGAAGCAGATCTTCCCTTGGGTCAGAAGGCAGAGAGAAACCCAGACAGGGTAACTGTACAACCCTCTTCAGGAGTAATGATTTCAGATCAAGAACCTGGTATTGTCTCAAGCATGAAAAACTTTACCATAGTAATATCAATTAGGAGGCAGCCTACCTCATCCCCCTACACAACCCAAACAAAGATGTCACATCAAAAAGGGGGGGGGGGGGGCGGGCAAAGTGTCAATGGATTTCATGAAGCCAGAAAGTCTGATGAAACTTTCTGACCAGAACTCAAAAGAACAATGATTAAATATTTTCAATAGGTGAAAGACAAATTTGAAGAATTATAGGACAATGCTAGCAAAAATTAAGAGGAGTGTAAAAAAAAAAATCCAAAACAATACAGATAACAAAAATGAGGCATTAGAGGTTCTGGAAAAACAAGAAACAACAATCCAAAATAAGAGGACCAATATTTCAGATGCTGTCAATATGATGGAGGGACACATGAAAAGGGTTGAAGAGATGGAACACAGAACCAGTGACATAGAAGACAGTATTGTCACCACTGATCTGCTAGAACAAAAAGCAGAATCAAAATAGAAGAAAAAAGAAGAAAACCTAAGAACAATGTAGAACACCATTAAGAGAAATAATACATGCATATTTGGAATCCCAGAACAGGAAGAAGCAACTAAAGGCACCAAAAAAGTTGTGGAGGCATTATCAGATGGCATTACAAGAATAATGAAAAATGAGAGAATATATATTCAAGAAGCTGAGGGAACACTATATAGAATAGAACACAAAGGGAAAACACCAAGACATATCATAGTCAAATTAGCCAGAACCAAAGATAAGTAGAGAATTCTGGAAGCAGTGAGGTAGAAACAAAGGATAACCTATAAAAGACAGCAAATAAGATTAAACGCCAATTTGTAAGCAGAAACCATGGGAGCAAGAATACAATGGAACGACATATATAGAATGTTCAAAGAACAGACTTGTCAACCTAGAATATTGTACCAAGAAAAACTGCCCATCAAATATGAAAGAGAGACCAAGGTATTCTCAGAAAAAACAGAACCTAAGGAAGTTTGTAAAAACCAGCATTGCAGGAAACACTGAGAGAATCCAGAAATCAACCCATCTGACTATGGCAAACTGATTTTTGACAAGTAGGTGAAATTAGTTAAGTGAGAAAATGACAGCCTTTTAAACAAATGGTGTTGGCAAAATTGGAAAACCATCTGCAGAAAACTCAAACAAGATCCACACCTCATACCATACACAAAAACCAACTCAAAGTGGATCAAGGACCTAGGACTAAAACCAAAGACTATAAACTTCATTAGAGAAAACCTTAGAAGAACTCTAGAAGCCCTAATTCACAACATGAACAATCTTCCAAGCATCCTGAAAAATCTACAACCAGGAGAGGACAAAATAGATGAATGAGACCCTCTAAGAATCAAATCCCTATGCATAGCCAAGAACTTCTCCAACAGGGTAAAAAGAGAAGCCATAGACTGGGAAAGAATATTTGGTAATGGCATGTCTGATAAGGGACTTATACATAGAATTTATAGAATACTCAAGCATCACAACAAAATAAAGGTAAAGAAACCAAATGAAAAATGAGCACAGTATATGAACAGACACTTCAACAAAGAAGACATTCAGATGTCAAACAAGCACATGAAGAAATCCTCAAAATCCATAGCTCTAAAAGAGATACAAATCAAAACAACTATGAGGTATCATCTCACCCCACCCTGTAAGAATAGCAAAATTTAACATAACAACAAACATCAAATGCTGGTGAGGTTGCATAAAACCTGGAACCCTTATTCACTGTTGGTGGAGTGTAAAATGGTGCAACCATAAGGAAGGCACTATGGTGCTTTCTCACAAAGTTGGAAATAAAAATATCATTTGACCCAGCAATTCCACTACTAGGCATATACCCTAAAGAAACCAGAACTGTCACCCAAACAGATGTATGCACACATATGTTTATTGCTACTTTGTTTGCAATAGCAAAGAGTTGGAAACAACCCAAGTGCCCAAGAGGAACAAATGGATAGGGAAGCTGTGGTATATTCACACAATGGAATATTATGCAGCACTGAAAAACAAGGAACTCATGAAATATTATACCATGGAGGATATTATGTTGTGTGAATTATTTCAATCACAAAAGGACAAATACTGCATAATGCCACTATTATAAAACAGGACTGACGTGAGGATTTGGGGAAAATCAGAAAAAGAGGGGATAAATAATGTACTTTTTATAAAGTATTTTTGGCATGACAAGAGTCCAGAAAAAGAGCTATATAGTAAAGTGAACTAGGAGCAGGGTGTACTGCATAACAAGATTTTTTTTTCCAAAGAGAAACGTGAACTGGGGCAGGGGGTGTGGGGGTGTGGGGGTGACAGGGAAGAAAATGTACAACAATAGAAGAATGGAAATCCAAGTTCTCTATAAACTTTCATTAAAAGATACCTATTCCTTGTCACAGATATTTTTTCTTTGAAAAGCACCTGTAGAAATTATTTCACTGAAGATGTGACTAAGCTCAAACTTATTTTGTCCAAATAGCACTTTATTTTTGTTGTTGTTGTTATGTGCCATTGAGTCAACCGCTCCTCAGACCAACCCTGTGAACACCGACTCTGAATCCTGCTCTATCCTGAACCAACATCACTACTGTCTCTGACACAACTGTCTACATTGCCACAATCACAGTCAGTTCATCCCATCCAAGGTCTTCCTCTCATGTGTTGACCTTCTACACTTCCAAGCATGAGTCCTTTCCAAAGACTGGTCCATTCTGGCAACATGCTCAAAGTATGTGAGACAGAGTTTCAAATCCTAGCCTCAAAAGAGGACTCTGGCTTCACTCTCTGTAGGACAGACCTGTTTGTTCTCTCGGCAGTCCATGGTATGGCCAATACTCTTCTCCAGCACCACAGTTCAAAGGCTTCAATTCTCTTTCTCTCATCCTTAGGGATTACCCAACTTTAACTTCTCATTAACAAGCAAATGAGAAGATCATGGCCTGGATCAGGTGCATCTGTCTCTGAACTGACATCATTGCTCTTTAATACTCTGGAAAGGTCCCTGGCAGGAGACTTTCCAAAAGCAACTCATTTTTTCTGTTTTATTTCCTAAATGCTAGGGCCAAGAGTGTTGATTGTAGATCTGAGCAAGATGAAATTGTTAACAACCTTAATTTTTTTCCTCCATCTATCAAGATGATGCCAATTGGCCCAGTGGTAAGAATCTTTCTTTTTTTGATGTTGAGATACAATCCATATTGAAATTTTCATTCATTCCTTGACCTTTTGCAGCAAATGCTTCAAGTCCTCTCCAGTTTCAGAGATCAAGGTTGTATTATTTACATATCGCAGGTTGTTGAAGAGTCTTCCTCCAATC